GGGATAGATCGTGTGATTTCCAATTTAGATTTCAGTACCTTGGGAGTAACATATATAAAAATATTTCTTCCATTTCTATGTGTGTACTGATCTAGCAGACCTCAGAAAACATGAATGTTTGTCATGTGGCTCATCCATCCAACCAACAAGCAGATAACACTCCTGGAGACTGTGACTACGTGCTACTGTATGAGCAGGTTCACATCCACACACAAGGAAGACTTGGCTCCTGCATTCATGGAGCTCTGCGTCTAAATGGAAACCTTTGAGTAATGTCACAAACTGCTGAGAGGAATGGGATAACAGAAACCTGGGAACATTTCACTGGGGTAAAGAGAAAGGACTTTCAGAGAGTCTAGAAGGTTTCACAAAGAAGATGACATTTGAGTTCATTCTCAATTGCTTATAGAAATGGAATGACCCTCTAAAATATAATTTTCCGTTTTCCAGATTCTCAAGATAAGTACCACACACATCCAGTTGAAGTAGATGAAGTCTGATGCATTCCAGTTTCTGGGGACCACATGCCTATAGCTCTAGATGGTGGTACAGTGGAAAACACTAGATGCTGTATCTGAAGACCTTGGTTCAAGTCCCAGCATGGCTGCCCAAGTATGAAAAAGTACCATGAACAAGAGCTGACACACAGTAGGCCCATAGCTTTCACTGTGCCTTCCCCAATAACTGGTGTTCAGTCCTACCTTTATGAGGCAACATCATCAATTATGTTACAAAATATGTACCCAATATCAAAATCAGGCATTGATTAAAACATAACATCAAATGCTTTACTCACTACATCAGGGCCATTTGGGGATATGGAGATGGCATCCATTTGATTCAATTCATCATTACTTATTTACTAAGTCCACTTGCTATATTTGAGGCACTGACAATACAAAGATGAAAACAAACCAGTCCCTGCTCTTAGGGTACAGAAAGTCCTAACTAAAACCAGAGTAAAAAATATAGGTAATTCATAATTAGGGGAGAAGTAAATTTTTATATCCCACTTTAGTCCTGATAGTGATGATCACTAATAATAATAAGCACTAATATTTATTAAGCTCCTATTATATGCCAGACACTGTTCTAAAGACTCTTTGAAGATGCTCTCAGTTAATCCTCACAATAGATCTTTGCCAAAACCCTACTACCACCCCCATGTTACAGAGAGAAGCTATGTGAGCTGCCTCTCTGAAACGTAGCTGGGATTTGAACTCAGGAAGGTGACTGTAGAGTCCATGCTCTCTATAGGTCAATCAAGCATTAGACCCCTTGCCGTACTATCTGTATTTGGTTTTCTCTGTGTATACCTTGCCTTTGCACATTACACTTAGTAAGGAAGCTAATTTTAACATGGCTGTTCCACGAGATCTACCCAGTTTGAAACCCCGTATCTTCAATTTTATGAAGCCCCAAATTAAACCTAAGGTACATGTTGGTCCCAACAAGGTACTGAAACCTGTACCCAGGTAGCACCAAAGTGTCATGTCTTTCAAAAATCTTCATGAAGCAAACATAAAACACCAGGTGATTAACAGAGAGAATACACACAATCGATCAACCTGCATTTATCTGAGCCATGGTGCTCATCTGGGGTCTTTGAGGGGTGGGATCTCTGGCCAAACGCTAACAGGTTGAAAGTTCTCACACCCTTTCTTTCAGGAAAAGGCATTCCTTTGAACTCTTTGAAACTCTTATGAAACTCGGTAACTTCATAGATGCGCTCCTTTTTTAGAATACCCTCTTGTTTTCTCCAAGGACAGACTAGGAGGAAAAGAGGAGCAACATATTGTACACACAGGATTGTGCAAAAAAAATTACTAAGATGCTGGAGGGGCAATTTGGAAAGAAAGGGAAATAGAAAGTAGTGGATCTTTGTGTTAGTCAGTACATTTTATTTTATAAATAGCATTCTAACTTGGATAGGATGCCCCTAAGGTAGAAATGAGTCTGTTCTATTTTCCCAGGCTCCCCAAAGCACACAGTCTACAATCCAAAGATAACTGTATCATGATTTAGCCATAAAATGCATACCGCAGTGATGAGTATTTACTTGATACACAGCGAATAAGAAAATATACACATTTTTATATATGAACTATCACGCTGCATACCAGTATCTTACAAAATGTTTGCTCTTATTTTTTCTTTTCTTTCAACAGTTTATATTTCTGTTTACTGTATATAAACACAGATATACTACATGAAATATATATAATAAACACTAACTTTGCTATTGGAAGTGAAACATACAATGTTTAATTTAAACGGCTTGAGATCAATCTAAACACTAGCGGGATGCTTCACTGGAAGATGAAATAAAAAAAAATACTACTTCTGAATAATCGCTTATTTTATTTTACTAACTGATACGGTGGTCACTACCCTGAACTCCGAGGGGTGATCATGAAGTGGAGGTTTCTATTCAGTAGGGGTTCAGAACTGGCTCAGGAAATTTCTAAAGAGTTCCCAACTATTCTTCATGTTAAAAGTTGAGACACTGCAGTTGAAATAGCTCCAGAGACCCCAAAGGGACTCTCTGGAAGGATAGCACAGACATGGCTTTCAGCATGTGTTTTAAAAACTCAATCTCACTGCTTTAGACTTGCAGCTAATCCATTCTTTCCAGCATACAAGATTCAAATGTCTGTCCTTAGCAACCCATTAAGGGCCATCATCACACTGTCACCCATACTTTAAAATTCTAAGGTCTTCAAGACCAACTTTAAAAGAGAAAAATGAACATGTCCTCTCAGCACGTCAGAAAACGCGAAGCCAGCTCACATCACGCTGAGCACTGTAATGAGCTGTGGAGAGAAGCCCACGGGAAGGACTCCAGGGCTCTGAGCGAGGGAGCGGCGAGCAGAGGGACCGGCGGAGTCACAGTGTAAGGAGCAGACTGCACGTTTCGGCTTCAACTCCGCGCTCTCCATAGGCCCTTACTGACACCAGCATCATCACTGGGAAAGTGGCGAGAGTGAGGAGCAGGGGAGACTTCACTGTTGATTAAATACCTTCCAGTAACATTTAATATTTAACTCCAACAGAGAGCACCGTGTGTGAAAACAAGAGGTGCAGTTTGGATGTGAGATACTCAAGTTACTTATGTAGATTCAAACACTAGCAGGTGACAGAGTCCGTCAGCTACAGGGTATGAATTCTCTCAATAAATAAAAAGTAACAGAAAGTTGTGAACTCAGTAACATTACTAAACATAATTATGAACCCAGCTGCAGCAGGCTGATGGAATCTATCATTTAAAGTACTGTGATTTTAGCCCAGCCAGTGTGGCTCACTGGTTGAGTGTCATCCCATGCACCAAGAGGTCGCTGGTTCGATTCCAAGTCAGGGCACATGCCCAGGTCGTGGTAGGAGGTGGCCAATCGATGTTCTCTCTCATCGATGTGTCTATCTCTCTCTCCCTCTCCCTTCCTCTCTCTCTAAAATCAATTAAAAAAATATATTTTTTAAAAAGTACTGTGGTTTTAAAGGGTATTTCTAAAACATTTCTGCTTTTTTTATTGATTTAAAAAAAAATAAAAAAGTTAATGCCTTAACTTTCCCCTTCCCTTTTCCTTATCTGTAGTCCTTGTAGTTTCTCTGCCTTACAGGGTGGAAAATGGTATTTCCTTCCCTGGTAGTTCGGCCTGTACCACACTCACACAGCCCGGGATGCACTAGGGTAACTGCAAGGTCATGTTACAGCAATAAGACCTGGCGAGTGCTTGTTTCCTCTAAATTCAGATACAGTAACGTTCTCTGCATCTTTCAGTCCCATGATCAGTATGATGGGGGCCGTGAGAAACTGAGATTAAAAGTAGCCAACTTTTAGGACACTGTTCACTTCTGTCACAATCTTTACTCCTCTGACAAATCTGAACACGTTAGGGATACAGACAAGTCAATTAGACTAGCTAAAATCCTAAACTTCTGAATATATTTTAAATATGTTTTTATTAATTTTTTTGGAGACAGAGTAAGGGAGAGAGAGCTAGAAATATCGATGTGAAAGAGAAACATCTATTGGCTGCCTCCTGCATGCCCAGTACTAGGGATCGAGCCCGCAACCTGGGCATGGGCCCTGACCCGGAATCGAACCGGGACCTCTCAGTCCGTGGGAGGATGCTCAATCCACTGAGCCACACCAGCCGGGCAACTTCTGAATATATATATATATTATATATTATATAATATATTATATATATTATCGTCACCTGAGTACATTTTTCCATTTTTTTTTTTTTTGTTCAGATAGAGTGGGAGGGAGAGAGAGAGAGAGAGAAACCTCGACATGAAAGGGACACATCGAGTGGTTGCCACCCGCATGACCCATCCAGCGCCAGGGACAAACTGCAACCGAGGTACGTGCCCTTAGCGGGAACCGAACCTGGGTCTCTCTGGACCACAAGCCGACACTCTAACTGCTGAACCAAACCGGCCAGGGCAACTTCTGAATATATTTAAAAGAAACACCACTTTCTCATTTTCAAATATCACTTGAGTGAAGCTAATAAAATGTTCCCCAGTAAAGGTCAAAAAGGAAATGTCTTTGATAAACAGACTTAACTTTTTATTAGCTTGAGCATAAGTAAGTTCTTCCAAGAATTAATCAGGTTATATCCTGTCCCTGGCAAATGTATTTCTTTTATTATCTTGATGAACAAAACTCAATATTTGTAGATAGGTAGACAGTATTTAGTAATAGTTCACCTAAAGCACTGGCAGTATAGTTTCTAGTTCGATAATGTTTTACCAATGAGGACCTATTTCTTTTACAAAAATGCTTCCCAGAAAAAACAACTTAAGTATGAACCAACTGAAACTGTTGAAGAATCTAACAATATTTTTCACACAAACTGCTCAGTTTTACCCCAAAAGGATTATGTTCCTCTCCATTACAAATGAATGTTTTGAGTCAGTCTAGAGATGAATTCCATCAATAACTGAAAACACCAAAAGAAAGCGGCCCCTTCCGACACCTGTCCCGGGGGTACCTGTCTCATCCGGGGAGCTGGGTGAGGCGCTGTCATGGGACAGTGTGGTCCAGCTGGACTCCTCGTCACTGGGTGCCAGGTTCTGGATCCGGTGTAGGGCACAGTCCGTTTTGGCCCCTGTTTTAGGGTGATCCTTCTTGGTTTCTGGACTGGATGACACTGTGGCTACTTGGCCATCCTCAGGGCTGCACTGGGGTTTGTTTGGTTTCTGCAGCAGCAAGTCACCATTCCCAATGATGGTGGAGGCCTGGCCCTGCCCCGGCTGCGACTTCTCGTCCACAATCCCATGCTGGCTGCCCAGGTCCTGCTCCAGTTCTCGAGCTGAGGTTTCCAGGTCTGCATAGTAATTTAGGAAGCTCTTGGTTCTCCTGGGTTGAGAGGGTAAAATCTCACAGCCGGAGGAATCCTGTGGCTGGGGCTCTTTACCTTCTAACTTCTCGGAAGTTATGTTGATGACTGCAGTGGGACTGGCATTCTTGTTGGGGTCCTGCTGTCCCTGCTCTGCAGCCTTCCGGAGCTGGTTCTCCCCGTTTTTCACCAGCTTGATGTTGGCGGAGCCGTTTCCCAGCAGGGGCTGTGCGGCAGGGTCCGAGAGGCCCATGGCTGCCTGGATGTTAGTCAGTGCATATTTTTTCCTGCATTTGGGGGGTGTACTGTTCTTGGCTTCTGTGTGTTTGATTTCGGCATTCAGCAGTTCATTGTGGGAGGAACGGAGATTAAGGGTGTTTGGTGGTGTGGCCGGGCTATTACGATTCGTGACATCTGTGGTTCCGCTGCTGGCCATAAACACTGCCAAAGTGTCTACACCTGAGTCCGCTGGAAGACAAAGGACACTGGTCATTAGATGTCTGACATGATTAAACCACTTAGCATACAGAGTGAGTAAACATTTTATACAGGAATTTGAGAGAATAAATGCTTCTGTTGCACATGTTCTTACAAAATTGACCTATTTTCCTCTTTATTGTCACCATTTACTTCTATATTGAATAGGAGCAAATAAAAGGCTTAATGTGGATATCCAAAAGCCAACTTACAGGAAAGCTAAGAGGACTGAGGGTCCAAGTTTTACTTAAAATTAAAAAGTCTCTCTCTTTTGAATCAGTATGGAAGCCTTTTCTTCCGGTGGCTTCACATCTTGAAAATCATCCCCGTTCTGTTCTGTGGTTCCCTCAGGCAACAAAAAAGTGATTCAAACATCCCCTGGGGCTCCTGCTTTCTTAATTAACCTGCACAGTCACTGATCAATGATGCACCATACGTCCCAGGTAATTTGTCTCAACTGTGTTTAGAAATGGTGCTCTGAATGCCTAGAAAAATCGCACCTCCAGTACAGTGTTTTGCTAATATCTTCATAAGCATTTTGACTTGGGCTTAGTGTTTGTACTAAACAGAGAGTTTGGAGAAATGCCTTAAATGCTCAAGAAAACACACAGACACACAACTAACTAACAATGTGGCATTAAGTCCATGACTAAGGTTCGTTAGATCCCCAAAGGAGTCTGAATATGTTCCACTAAACTAAAATACAGACTCAGCTACCTGCAGTCCCCAGGTGCCCTTGCAGAACTCCTACGAAACTATCTGACAGTGCATTTATCTCAAATATAGTTCACACCATCAGTGATTTATTCCATGTGTCTCTTGCTAGGAAGAAAGAAAGGTTTCTCAGACTAGAAGGGAATAAAATTCATCAGCAAGAATTCCTGAGGTTTCATATTTCTCAGCCTATAAGGGATGACTTTTTTCTTATCTGATCCTTTGCCCTCCACAGAGACCTCAGTGAGTTCTCCACCAGTGGTGGGTGAGCCAAAGCACAGCTCCGAACATTCCTAAAATTGCATTGGTGACAACTCCCTCTCCCTCCCACAGGCAAAACAGGGACTGCTACAGGAAAGGAAGGCGAGAATGTTCCATTCAGGAGCTCAGAGGTATCTTTCTATCATTAAATACAGCAGGATGGGCTGTTTTTGGTTTTTTTTTTATCCTCACCCAAGGATATTTTTCCATTTTTTGTACAGATAGAGTAGGAGGGAGAGAGAGGAAGGGAGGGAGAGAGAGGAAGGGAGAGAGAGAGAGAAACATCGAGGTGAAGGGACACATCGAGTGGCTGCCACCCGCACAACCAACCAGGGCCGGGGACAAACTGCAACCGAAGTACGTGCCCTTAGCGGGAACCGAACCCGGGTCTCTCCGGACTGCAGGCCGATGCTCTAACCGCTGAGGCAAACCGGCCAGGGCGGGGATGGGCTGTTTTAGAAGAGAATCCTCCACTCATCCTAGAGACCATACGCTTCAGGAACTAGACAACATCTGTGCATTCTGGGCAGTCCACATTTATAACAGAATGACCAGGTAGCCCATAGGAGTAGTCAAGGGCTGGAACCCAAGTGGTTAGACCTTGGACCTCATTCTCCAGAATTATTCTTTACAAGAATCCCTGCTTAGCCTGCACACCACCTCAGCACGTGGGCTTCGTTTTAGAGGAACAGAGAATCTCGCGTGTTTCTCCCTTTCAAACAATACTTTGAGACTAAATTAAAAATTTTTTAATATTGTTTTGGCTACTACTACTCTTTATGGAAAACATGTGTTTTCATTTATCATTCAACCTCACTCAAGTGCAGCATTTGTGAGGAGAAGAGCCCATCTGAGCCCACACAAAGTTTCCTTGAGACACATATCCACAACACAGCGGGGGAAATTACATTTACACTCTAGGGTGTTAAGAGTGACGTTCTTATGAGAAAGTTGGAAATCAGCTGGCTTTTTCAAAGGTAAGGCAAAGCATTTCTATGAGGTTATTTATTTTTTAAATATGTTTCTACTGATTTTTTTTTTAGAGAGAGAGGGAGGGAGAGAGAGATAGTAACATCAATGTGAGCCTGGGCCGGTTGCTAAGTGGTTAGAGCTTCGGCCCGCAGACCAAAGAGTGGTGGGTTCAATTCCAGTCAAGGGCACATACCTCGGGTGCAGTTTGTCCCTGGCCCTGGTCAGGATTGTGTGGGAGGCAGCCAATCGATGTGTCTCTCTCACATCAATGTCTCTCTGTCTCTCTCTCTGCCCCTCCTACTCTGTTTGAAAATAAATGGAAAAATATCCTCAGGTGAGGATTTAAAAATAAATAAAACACATCACTGTGAGAGAGAAACATCGATCGGCTGCCTCTTGCACGCCCTCTACTGGGGATTGAGCCCACAACTTGGGCTTGTTCCCAGACCAGGAATCGAACTGGGACCTCTCGGTCCATGGGAGGATACTCAATCCACTAAGCCACACTGGCCAGGCAATGGGGCTATTATATGATGTTAAATCCTACATTGTAGCAATGTTATTAGGGAGAAATTTTTATTTACTTTGTTTATAACCATAAACATTTTCAGAAAGAAAATATTTAAGTCGCTTCTATATCCTGAATGAGACAGATAAAAACTTTTAGCCATGTTCTCACCAGACTTTTGGATCCTATCGTCCTCCCTATGCCCTTTGTGGCCCTTCTGCTTGCTAGAAACCACATGGGGGAGGTTGGGGAGGGTTCATTCAGAACAGCAGGACCACCCTACACAAAACAGCTCTGTACACGCTGTTTTTATAGATCTAGCCTGAACACAGTGTTAGTGTCTTAGGTATGAAATGATGGTATCATCTGAAAGCAAAATAAAGGTTCAGCTCTAGAACTAAGAGAGCCAAGGTGACCCTACGAAGTTACAGCTGTCCCCAGGAGATGCTCTATCAGCTAGGCAGTCCTTTGGGCTCAAGAGGGTCATAAAGTAGACAGAGGTTAACACAATCCTAGGAAGACCCAGGCTGTGGGAGAAAGGTCCCCAGAAGTAGAGGCAGTGGTTGGAGCTCAGAACTCAGGGCCAGAGAGAGGGGCCCGAGCCCTGTCTGTGATGCTTACCAGCTGAGTGACCTAGGACATCAGACCAGGTTGTGGGCCCAATCCCCAGTGTGGGGCATGCAGGAGGCGGCCAATCGATGTTCTCTCTCATCGATGTTTCTATCTCTCTCTCCCTCTCTCTCTCTAATGTTAATAAAGAAAAAAAAGGGAAAAAAATGGGGACAATAGTACCTAGTTGCTGTGACGATTAAAATGAGAAATGCCAGCAGAGTTTAGCATAGTATGTAGCAATAAATGTAAGCTCATCAATGTTTCTCTCTCTCTCCCTCTCCCTTCCTCTCTCTTCAAAATCAATGAAAAAAAAAAATTATTTTTTAAAGCCTAAGAATAAGTCCAAACTCCTTAACTTAACAGACAAGTCACTTACACGGCCCGCTCCTTTGCTGTAGACAACAGTGTCTGCACCTCGGCTCGCTGGCTGGGAACCGAGAAGCCGGTGGAGCATCCTGTCAGAGCTCCGTCCACACTAGGGACTATCATGATGTTGCAGCTCCCTCCTCCCCTCACTGGTCTCTGCTATGGCGCCTCAGGCCAGCGCTTTCTTCCCTCTGGCACTGTGCTGGGAATGGGGAAATCAAGGCACCGAGGCCCCCAGGCCCCCGCTAAGTGCTCCCAGCCTCACGGAAGACACACACACAAGTGACAGACAGCACCCAGCGTGGGGTGGGGAAGGCGCGAAGGAGCAGATCTGAGGGTGAAAGAGGGGGTGTCACGGACAGCCTGAGCAGATGCAGACAGGAGAGGAGAGGCGGTGAAGGGAGGGGAGGGGTCGGGAGGGAGCCTACAACACAGGCTCCAAGAGTGTGGACTGACTCTGGGCAGAGAGGAAGGTCAAGCACTTCCACAGCAGCAGGAAGAGTGAATCTAAAGCCAAAAGGAAAGAATGAAGCGGAGGCCGAAGTGCCTGTGTGTGTGGCACTCACGGTCATCCTTTCTGGGGAGCATGTCCTCCTGCAGCACATTCTCCGAGAAGGGGACACTCAGATGAGTGTCCACGTAAATGAGGCAATGAAAAGGTCAGTGGTCATCAGGGCAAGAGCAGCGAGAGGTGGGCAGTGGGGGTCTCCCTCACCAGAGGCGGGCGGGCCCCGCCGCCACGCTCCTCTGCTGGTGTTGGAGTCTGGCTGCGCTTACTGAGTGCAGCAGAGACCAGGCCTGGAGACAGACGGAAGGTGACCGTCCAGTCCAGACACAGGGAGAGGACACGACGGGCAGGACAGACAGGGCTGGGGGAAGTCTGTCTCTCTCAGCGCCGGTCTAGTCATTCTTCTCCTGACCGGGGCACGGAGATGAATTCTCCATTAGCCACCTGGATGGGAGGTGAGGACTAAAGAGAACCAGGGACACTGAGTGATTAGAAGGACACTGGTGGCTTCTGTCCTATCAGCTTCAGGAGAATGGCAGAGGGGGGAGACGGGGACCTCTGGGAATTTCACCACAAACACAGCAAGGGAGAGAGAAGAGACGCCGAAGTGAGGGGAAGAAGTTGGTTTTCCCAAAAAGAGGCTTGGCCGTGTTCTGTTGTTCACGGGGAGAGCGAAGGCCAGCAGAGAGGGGGGAGCGGAAACACAGAAGGGGCACAGACCGAGAAGGAGGAGTCCACGTGAGAGAGGAGAGGAGGGACCAAGCAGAAGTTGGAGAGTCGGCCTTGCCCATAGCAAGGACACCGCTTCACGTGAGAAGGAAGGCGCAGGGGTAAGGATGGGACCAGGCGGGTAGGTCACCACCGAGGGAAAGCGAACTGATGGCCTTGATTTTCTCAGAGGGGACGCCATCTCAGGGAACCTGAGGGGATGGACTCAGTTTGGAAATAGCCACAAGGGAAAAGCACAGGGTTAATGACATGAAAGTTTTTTTGTTTAATTTGATGGCATAAAAGCAGACACATAGGTCAATGGAACAGAATACAGAGCCTAGAAATAAACCCCTGCATATATGGTCAATTAATGTATCACAAAGGACTCAAGAATATACTATGGGGAAAGGACAGTCTCTTCGGTAAACAGTGTTGGGAAAATGGACACCCACATGCCAAAAATGAAACCGGACTTACCCTCTTACACTATACACAGAAGTGGATTCAAAACAGATAAAAGACCTGAAAGTAAAACCTGAATCCTTAAAACTCCTAGAAGAAAACACAGGGGCTAAGCTTCTTAACACACATGTCAGCGATGATTTTTTTGTATTTGACACCAAAAGCAAAGGCAACAAAAACAAAATAAACATGTGGGACTACCTCAAAGTAAAGAGCTTTTGTTCAGCAGAGGAAACCGCCAACAAAATGAAAAGGCGCCTGCGGAAGGGGAGGGGGAAAGGGCAGAAAGAGTGTCCCGGGGTGTAATGAAGGTGTCACGTGGAACCCCAGGGGTCGGTCTTCAGAACAGAGGCGGTTGGTTCTGCCCTGGCTTTCTGGAGGTGGACAGGACCCGTGGTTTTGCCATCACATCTATTCATTGTCCTGAGTGTTACCAACGGAGATTTCACATCAGCTCAACAGGATCAACTATTCCAGGGCTAGGTATAAGCTCAGAGCTAAGGGTGTGACAAGCACTAATGTGGCTACTGCCTGCCGTCGGTCTGGGGTACGATGAAGAAACTTCTATTACAGCCTGGCATGCATTTCCTCCTTTTCCAGTAAATGCCTCAAATTTTCTCTTGAGGAATTAGCTCATTCAACAGACTGTGTGTGTGTACTACAGATACGGTTCTCATTACCGAGAACAATGAACAAAACTGATCAAATAAAAATACCTGCTCTCAGGAGCTTGCATTCTAGGGATTCAGCCCTATGTTTCAGGCAGAGATGATGCTCCCCCTTACTTCCTGAGGCATGTGGCCCAGGCCCAGCCAATCAGAGTAGCAAACCCCCATGGCTCTGGTGACTGGTTCGAGGAAAAGCATGTGACCCACACAGAGCCAATCCTAAAACTTTTGCGACAATGATCAGAAAAGACATGCTCTCTCTTCTCTTCTTGAACTAGAAGATACAAGCTTCAAGGAGTCACCATGGAAAGACAACCCGCATCCTGCGTAAGCAAGAACCGAACAGATGGGCCGGCGGAGCCAAGGCACAGAGAGGAAGTGAGCAGGCTGAAATGACATTGCTGCAATCCCTGAAAGAAGCGTGCCTGAGACCTAACACCCTGGGACTTCCAGGGTATGGAGGCAATCGATTTTGTTGTTGTTGTTTGAACCATTCTGAGATGTTTTTCTCCTTTTAGCAACTAATAGAGCCTTAGTGAATATACAGAGTATTTTTTATGAAGCCTAAACAAAATTAAGTAAGCCAGGGTCATTTTAATTTTTCGGCTAACGAGCTTTTCCTAAACCCAGGGTCACCACGCTCCCAGCCCTGAGCTATAACCCGCAGCTCAGATGACACCCTAGCACAGCCCCGTGCTGGAGCCTGTCGTTAAACCTGCTCCCCCTTGTTTTTTCTGAGACCTCTAGCCTGCTGTCAAATAAAACATTTGTCAGGAATGACAGGAAACTCCTCTCCTCGGCAGCCCGCTGCTCTTTCTCTGCTCCCATGACACGCTTATAAAATTGGAAACTGACAAATGGGCCCAGGGTTGACGGATGGCCCAGGGAAGCCCGGTGTTGGCCCCATTCTTAAGCGAGACTTCACATTTTCTTCATTTTTATTTTCCTGCTGTACAATTTTATTTCCACTGAGGAGTTAATAGCAAGACTTCTACCCTGAGGAATGTTGCCTTTTGAACTAGAACTCAAAGTATTAAGGAAATGAAGCAAACTAAGATTTTTTCCTATTAGGAAGGAGAGACAAAATAAAGCTGGTTTCCTGAAATTACTCACAAAAGTAGACTCTCAATGTGACAAAAATGATAAGAACTTCTCTGTGAACAAAAGAGGCAAAGGTCACCAGGAGGCAGCCCGGGTCCCTGGGTCAGAGGATCACAGGGTTAGTACCTCGGAAGTTTCTAAACCAGGAAAGCAACTTCACACGCTGATTCACAGGGCAACTTCCTCAGGCTCTCTGAGACAAAGGGGTGATTTCAAGAGCTAGGTCTAGTCCACCTAAGGGTTTTCCATTCTCCATTCAACTTCACTGCCTGAGGGCTCACTCTGTTCAACATCCCAAGTGGAACTGGGGAGAGTCAAGAAAGATGTTCCAGTTGCTTTCCTTTAAGAAACTCAGTCAGGGCAGCAAGAAGGGTAATATTCAATAAACTCACAGTGGCTAAAGTAGACAGAGGGGCTTATAAGAAGGTATTAGTGATAAGGAAAGAGGTTCAGGGAAGGTCAAACAAAACAAAACAACAACACAGAAAACAGCTGAGCTGGGTCCTGAAAGGTGGGTAGGGGTCTACCAGTTGACAAGGAAGAGAAAGGCACTCCAGATGGGGGAAAACATGGCATTCCAACATCACACCTGGTAGATGTGATGACTGGTTATTTGGGAAACACAAATCAGAATACGTGTATTCAAATAAGAATTGAGACATTCGAAGTAGTCACCTTGGGATATGATATGCTTATCCCAAGGATATTTTCTCTGCTCAGTTTCTAAACTATGTTCATTATTGAGGAGAGTCTTGCCCTGGCTGGTGTGGCTCAGTTGGTGGAGTATTGTTCTGTGCACTGAAAGGTTGCTGGTTCAGTTCTCGGCCAGGGAACATGCCCAGGCTTTGGGTTCAGTAATGAATGGTAAGGGAGGCAATCAATCGATGTATCTCTTTCACATCGATGTTTCTCTTTCTCCCTCCCTCTCTCTCTTTCTCTCTCCTTCTTTCCCTTCCTCTCTGTCTAAAATCAATAAAAACATATTTAAAAGAAAAAAGGAAGAACCTCTCAATGTCTTCTGAAGATGAATGTTTTTTTAAAAAAACATAGCTCTGGATGTTTATGGCCAACTCTGATGAACATAGTCAATGATCAAGCCTGGGAATACTGGTTTAGGTAAAAAAAAGTAGGTAAACTATAACATAATGACACAGCTTTTTTTGAATAAGCTGGCCTTGAGTCAATTCCAAAAGGGGGAAAAAAGGAAAGAAACCTTAAAACAGGGTGATTACTTGACTATGTCATAGTGAAAATATATTGGGAAGAGACTCTTAAATTGAATCATGAAGTTTCCACAAGAATTTTCTAAGCAGATGACAGTATGGATTCTGGTGTGTTTGATTGTAAAGGCTCTCGGTAGTCATAGCTCCCGAGAGCTGGAAAATGAGACTGAGGCTCACCTTCTTCCATTTATTGGTCCAGACTCTCCCTTACTAGCTGCCATCTGAATTTTCAAATAAAAAATGGCTGGAATATGATATTCCACTGAAATAAGAATACTGCTTTCTTGGCAAAGTGTGTTACATCCTGTTCCAATGCATGACAGTAGTAGTTCTTATTAAAAAACCATGCTGGACCACAGTTTCATTATCTCTTGTATAAGTACTGAGGCATAACACAATTTGAGTACCAACAGAAAGAATGACTAGATCAGCATAACAACAAAAAAATATATATAGTGGCCATCAGAAATTTCTACAGAAGTTATTTGATTAGTTCACCTCCATTTACAGAGTAAAACACATCATTTTATATATTTGCCAACTTTGTTCCTAAAATGTTCCCATACTGAGTCTATCTTGCAATGTCATAAAAATTTTTAAACACTAAAAAATTCTTTAAAGGATTTATTCTCAACACTTAAAATGTATTTTTTAAAGGACATACATATTTGCCTTGATTTTCCAAAATTAACACACCTATTCAAATATGTATTTACAAAGCAAATCTATTCCCTGCACACACATTTTCACAGTATGAATGAGCTATCCTTTAAGAATCACCTCTAAGTTCCTAATTTTCCTCTGTGAAGTTAGGGGTGTCATACTGGTTTTGGCTAACTTTAATAAATAGAATTTTCCTGCCACTCATATACTTCTACTGAACTAAGGGTTTATTTTATTGTTTTATTTTAGTTCTCTGTTGAAATGTAACACGTAGAGGTATATAAAACAAAGAAAAGGCTTGGGCATACTTAATGACTTTCATTTGGAATTTAGGGATATTAATATCAATTTGTCCATGGTAAAAATCTATTTCTTTAAAAACTCAGAATTTTCTGAGTGGTGTATGTCCTAACATACGTGGCACCACCCAGAGTATCTGCCATTTGCAGTCCTCTATGTTTAACTCCCAATGTTCTTGCCACTGCTTTTCCCTTATTATATTACTGTGAGGCTAAGAATTCAATCCCACACCATCTCGTGTATAGACTAGCATCCATCATGTCACAAAGACAGGAACATAAAATAAAATTAGGGTGATTTTTCTTAGGGCCTGAAATTAATCAGCTCTACGTCCAAGGAGAATACTGACTTGAGGAGCTCTACTCCAGGCGACCCCACAATGGCTAAGATGCTATTTAAAGAGACTCACTACCAACAGCTCCTTTGATCATATGTAACAGTTCATGGGCTACAGCGTGCAATGCTAGGAGGCAACATTTAATAGTTTCAACTTCCCATGACAGTCAATTGAAGTATTTTCACATTATGATATTAGTAGAGTTGTGCAATTATTACACAGATACATTTAAGTCCAACGGAGTCTTCCATCTTATTTTAAAGATTCATTTTTTTCTATTAGTGAAAAACAATGAAAACCCCAAACATGTTATTTTAGCAAATCATACTTTTAACATCAAAACAAGCATCTATCATATATATTTGTTAAAGTTTTAATATTAAACTGCTTGTCTGCATTGAAATATGTGAAAGTGTATCTGACCTGGAAGTACTTCAGACATGGGTCACTGGCCGTCAGCAATGGTGCAGGAAATGGGTTATAATGTGAAATCTGAAAAGAGGGATCATTTGAGAAATTAAAACCCTAAACAACAAAGCATGTAAGGAAAAAAGCATACCATTGAAAATCCTTCCAAAAGCTGTTTAAAATGTTGAACAAATTTTGGCAGAGAATGTCCAAATTTTTGTTTATTCATAGTTGGTTTTACCACTTTTGACTAAAATTTTAATTTCTGCTTAGTCACATTTCCCACAAATATCTGAGTTTTTTGTTTTGTTTTTTCCATTCCAGGCTTAAGTTCATCTATCTATTTACCTATCCATTTATCTATTATCTATCTAAAGTTTTTAATGCTTTTTCTCATTAAAAACACACAATTCAGAAGCCAATAAGAAAAAAACTAGTACACTTCACCATATAAAAATTTAAACCTTCAGTTTAGAAAAAAATAATGGCTATAAACACAGTAATGACCAAAAAAAAAGAAAAAACCAACAAAAAACTAAAAAATGACATAAAGAGCTAATTTCCTTTTCATAGAAAGGACTCCTTGAAATTATTAAGAAAAGTATGAGTAAGCCTGTAGGAAATGAGGCAAGGACAGGTACAAGTCCCAAGAGAAACACAAATGTCCAATAAATGTATAAATAATTAGCCTCACTTAAAACTAAAGAAAATGTGAATTTAAATAATAATAACTTACTGGTTTTCCTATATCAGTCTGCCAAGATTAAGAGGCTTGACATAACCTAAGGCATGGACTGGAAACGAGTTATTAAACCTTGCTGGTGGGAGTAAAAACTGGCCAAACTCTTTGAAGGGCCATTTAGAAATATCTGAGTACATTAAAAATGTATGGACCCCACTGCTCAGCAATTCCATTTCTAAGAGTTTATGTTATAGATACACTCACATAGACTCTATTGTTCTAAAGGCAAAAGATCAGTAACAACCTAACTGTTCTTTAGTAGACAGCTGGCTCATTAAATTATGATATAGCCATATAATGGAGTCCTGTGCCACTGTCAGAAAAGATGAAGCGGATCTACATGAGCTGATATGAAAAGGTGAATGACATGCATAGCATAGCATGACTGAATTTGAGTAAAATCTTTAAAGGCATATACATGTTCATACACATGGATTCATGCACACATGCACATGTACACACACTCTTGCATTTATAGAGAACATTTCTTAAATGAATATTAAAGAACTAAATATAGTGGTACACTGCCAGTTTACCAAATTAGATGCATAATAAGGAAGACTGAAAACAGACCTTATTTTCAATGAGTTTGCTATGAGAAATGTCACTTAGAATGATAATGTTTTATTAATTCAAATACGGATACTGCAGTGATTCCATTTATATAAAGGACAAAAACAGGAAAAACTTATCTGTGGCAGGATAACGGTTGGCCCTGGTGGGCAGGAAAGGGGGAGGGAGCAAGAGGGCAGCCTCCAGGATGTTGTTATGGTAATGTTCTATTTCTTGATCTGGTTGTGAAAATTCATCAAGCTCAATCCTCATGCCCACATTTCTGTATGTTTATTACACATCCTCGAAATGTTCAAAGAAAAAGTCAAATGCTAGAGGTTTACTGAAGCATTATACAAATGGAAAAACTTTATGCAGGGGTGGGCCAAAGCAGGTTTACAGTGGTGAATACTCGAAACACAGAGTTTATTCTTGTATTATTATTTAATCATTATTGTATTATTTATTTGTATTATAACTGTAAACTACTTTTGCCTACCCCTGTAGTTGTAAACCCTAAATTCTAAGCTAACCTTTCCAAACTAGTAACCTTTAATGGGTATTACTTCCATCCTTATGATTCAGATAATGACCTGACAACAACCTGGTCTACTGGCCCACGATACATTTTTAATCATATTTTCACATATTGTGGGTAAGGCTCATTGCTCTGCTCTCATGAAAAGGGTGAGTTTATCTTTAACTGTCCTGAAACAGCAGGGTGCTTCCTCTATCGCCGCTGCTTTTTGCCCCAAGCCTCTCTCAGTTCCTTGAAAGTATTTCGCGATTCAATTTTTCTTTCTTTCCATTTTTTTCTTCAGTGTACCTTCAGTTATAAGCAGAGACAGATGTGAGGTGATAGGTATTTCAAGAAAACGAATACCAATCAAATAGAAGAAAGCCAAGAAAAGGCATCCTTTCAGGAGTATTTTGAAAAGGCTTGAACAAAATCTAAAAATCGACATACTTTTTAGTACATATAATCCTTAAAATAGAATATTCCTTTTTTCCCCCAACACAAAACAAACTCCAACTTGTATAAAGTTAAAAACTGGACAATCTTCTAATCACTTCAGATTTTGAATGGCCCTGTGGTACTATTATCTGACCAATATTTATTCCATACTCGCCATGAGCAGGGAATACTTTAGTGCACCAAAAACCACCTTCCCCACTCTCATGGAACTTACACTCGAGTTGGGGAGATGGCTATTAAACACAAAGTTACTCAAATCAGTGTATTAGTATATATGTTTCAGAGGAAAATAACTCAGTTCTACGAGAATATCTGATGAAGGAGCAAGTACCCTTCCCTGAAGAAGTAAAATTCAAGTCAACCTGAGGACTAACCAGGATTTAGCTAGGTAAACACTTATTAGACCTACTATGTGCAAGGCACTCCCTGGCCTGGGAATGAAGCACAAACACGCAGAGCTATCTTTCCCTTGGCACTGGTATCCTTAATGAATATATCTAACCCATAAAACACTTTCCAAGGACTTTGCGGCATGAACTAATTCTAATTAAATAATAACCCAAGAAAATATAAGCACTTAAAATGGTATTAGGAATCATCTATAGACCTGCCGGTGTGGCTCAGTGGTTGGGCGCTGCCCATGCACCAAGAGGTCGCCCGTTTGGTTCCCAGTAGGGGCACAAGCCCAGGTTGGGGGCCCAATCCCCAGTGGGGGCCTGCAGGAGGCAGCCAATTGATGTTGTCTCTCATCAATGTTTCTCTCTCTCTCTCCTTCTCCCTTTCTCTCTTTCTAAAATCAATAAAGAAAACAAAATATTAAAAAGAAAGAGAGAGAATCATCTATAGCTGTGCTGTCTGATGTGGAAGCCACAAAGAGAGACAGGGAGCTACGAACACTTGAAAGGTAACTAATGCAATTGAGGAACAGAATTTTTAATTTTATTCAAACATAATTAACTTAAATATAATTTATGAACTAATGCATGGGAAACACTTAAGTCAGTTTGCAACTTCCTGGGTAGTGGATCTGCTTTTCACTATAAATTTTATGAAATCTAAATACAGATCAAGTATTTCCAATGAACATTCTGCAGTTGACTGCTATAAATGTAAACCACACGCTGATTTTGGAGACTTTGCATAAAAAACTGTAAAGTACTCTCATTAATAATTTTTAAGTATTGATTACATGTTGAAGTGATATTTTGAATATACTGAGTTAAATAAAACATTGTTAAAATTAATTGCACCCACTTATTTTTTTAAGTGCTGATCTAGATAATGCAGACGGATTCTGAAACTTTCTCCTCATCAAAATATTGTCTACCTCTCCTATAAAAGCAAAGACAGGCAGAAATGCTAGCTCAGCTGTAAAGCTAGAGAAGGTCTGCCAGCACTCAGAGCAAGTGTCTTTGCTTCCTGAAAAATCATTACTGCGTTCAAAGACTCCGGGAAACAGTAGGCCACCTCAAGTTCCACATCAAGAAGACAGTTGTGACTTTAAAACAAAGCTTAAAACTACGTTAAGTGAAGCAATCTAGCAACAACAGTTTCCCTTCCAGCAGTGTTTTTGTGTCCTATTAATGAAAATCCATAATGCTTATATACCTTGTATAATATTATCAGATCTCGATTAATGTCCAATTGGACCACAGAGGAGTGTCCCCAAGCAGAAATAACAGAAGAACGATTAAACAAAGGAGTGAATAAATTCAATGCCCACTTGTATTTTATTTCAGTATAAGATGCTACCTACCTTTCCCCCACTAGACAGCAATATATAAATTTGAAATTATATACTATATATTTATTTAACTTATTATATGATAGTCCAATCCTCAATGTCTTTATTTTTGTCAATATAATGACCTTACTAAGAATGTTAAAGTAAATTACCTCACCATAGTCATGCTCTTATGTGTTCTACTTACATTACTGATTTTTTTAAATCATTAAATTGTTATCATTTTTTTCCTAATAGAGGGTAAATTCTTTGAAGAAAGAGCTGTCTTATTTATTTATTAATTTTAATCCTCACCTGAGGATATTTTTCCATTTATCTTCAGGTAAAGTGGGAGGGAGGGAGGGAGAGAAACATTAACATGAGAGGGACACATTGACTGGTTGCCCCGACAACCCCAACCAGGGCTGGGGACAAATCGCAACCAAGGTACATGCCCTTGACTGGAATCAAACCCATGACTCATTGGTCCACAGGCCGATGCTCTAACCACTGAGCAAAACCGGCCAGGGCGTCTTAATTTTTAATTTAACTTATTTTTCTTTATTGATTTTTAGAAAGAGAGGAAGGGAGAGGGAGAAAGAAACATGGATGAGAGAGACCATCAACTGGCTGCCTCCTGCATGACCCCCACTGGGGATTGGGCCCATAACCTGGGCATGTGCCCTGACTGGGAATCAAACTGGCTGACCTCTTGGTGCATGGGTCGATGCTCAACCACTGAGCCACACCGGCCAGGCTTTAATTTTATTTTTTATTGAGGTATAATAGAAATAAAATTATATTAGTTTCAAGTGTACAATACAATAATTTAAAATTTGCATTTATTGCAAAATGATCACAGGAAGTCCCATTAACATCCGTCACCACACATGGTTACAGTTTTTCTTCTTGTGATGAGAACTTTCTTTCTTTTTTTTTTTTTTTTTATCCTCACCCGAGGACATTTTTCCATTTTTTGTACAGATAGAGTGGGAGGGAGAGAGAGGAAGAGAGAGAGAGAGAGGGAAACATTGATGTGAAAGGGACACATCGAGTGGCTGCCACCCGCACGACCAATCAGGGCGGGGACA